AGCTCCGGGGCAAACGGTGCCCTAACAGAGATCTTTCTCCAGCCTTCTCCCCCCCCCTGCCCCACACACACCCCCGTGCGCTTTTACCACCGACAAACAACCCCAAAGTTCACTTTACGCAGCGGGTGGGGGGCAAACGAGCCCGTGTTTCCAGGGGTGGGTGCACGAGAAAAACAATCGCTCCGCGGCATCCCTGAGCGAACTTGGCACAGTCAGACACAATTGCAGGTCGCGGCATCGGACGAAGGAGAAACCCCAAACAAACAGCGACACAGCCTCCCACCGCCCCCCTTGCTATAGCCGCCCCAGAGCTGGGAATGGCATGGCACCCCCTTAACGAGCCCGTGTTTCCAGGGGTGGGTGCACGAGAAAAACAATCGCTCCGCGGCATCCCTGAGCGAACTTGGCACAGTCAGACACAATTGCAGGTCGCGGCATCGGACGAAGGAGAAACCCCAAACAAACAGCGACACAGCCTCCCACCGCCCCCCTTGCTATAGCCGCCCCAGAGCTGGGAATGGCATGGCACCCCCTTACCTGAGCACTTCTACCGGCCTCGCGCGAGTGTCTGTGCTGGGTGCCCCGGCAGGTCACAGGTCGCACGAGAGGCTTCAAAAGGGGACGATTTTGTTATCCCTGCACAACACCTGGCGAGAGCCGAGCAGCCGGGCTCCCTCTGCTGTGGCTGTGTATTTCAGGCGCGTCCGGGCTCCTCTCTGGCAGACTCTGCGCTGGACACGTGGGCTTTACGACAGCACAAAATACAAGTGTGTCTGCTGTGTGTGAGAGAGGGAGGGAGAGAGGGAGTGGGAGGTTAACCCTAGATCTAAACACATAGCCCCGTTTTTGGCAGCCTTCCCCACTTTGTTCCTGATTTCATTCTTAAAAGTATCCCCTTTCATTACCTGGGAGAGTTAGGTTCTTAAAACAGTCTATTGCTATTATTCCATAGATAAGGGAGAGATGGCTAAGAAGGGATTCTGGGGTGTTCAGACTTGCCCTGCTTAGTTTCTAAGGTAGGACTACGGAGTACAAAGTTGCACGTGTTTGCAATGGGTTTGTGAGACAACATCTTGAGCGAGAAAGCGGGACAGCTGGAAGGAACCTGTACAGGAAGCGGTGTTCCTTTCAGTGAAGGTTTACACTAAAACAGCTTCAGATAGAAAAACTTTAGACAGATTTAAACTCTCCCCTTGTAGTTCAGTGTGCTCAGGTTGGACTCTCGTAGGCCAGTTTTCTATAAGAGGACATTTTTCATTTGATAGTCTGCAAATGTCTGACCTTTTCACACATTATCCTGAAGACGCTATGGTGTGTTTTGATTCACTTCCTTGTTCCTTTCCTTATTAAATGGTCCCCCTTTTCTGCTTTCCTGATACACCTCTGGTCGCATACGCCTCTTTTTTACATTTCTCACTATCATTTACCTTCTCTTCTCCAGGGCTACTTTAATAAGATCCATTTCAGGTGCTCCCAAGATAGGTGGAGAAACATGCTGCTTACAGTCTCCTCTCCTTCTGCCTTATTATTCTCCGGATTCCAGAGTTTAGCACGTTCATACTCCCAGAAAATCTACACATACGATAGGGCACGACGCAAACCAATGTTTAGGTAATCAAGATGTAGCCTGGTGTGCTAAACGTCTACACTTTAACTACACTTTTTTCCTTCCTCAAAATTCAGGATCACAAGACTGGCTAATTTCCGTGTAATTACTGAGAAATTTCACGCATCAGTATTTCAGATCAAGTATTTTTCTGACTCTTTTCCACATCGCACGAAAGGAGAGAAAAGAGATATCATTTGTTCCGTAACTTATCCAAAATCTACATTTAATATAAAATGATCCAATCAGAATTCCTATAAAGTGTAACAATGTAATCCATGTTCTATTTCACACTGGCTTATATACACACCATGTTCTGTCTCAGTATTTAAACAATTAATGACATTTCTTGTCAACTTTCTACTTATTTCTTTCCCACCCGTTCATTCTTGCAGAGCCTGGGAAAGCTGCTGTTTAGGTTTTGTCTGTGTCTGTGGCAGGACATTTTAACACAAATTTGAACAGAGCTGGGACAAAAAAATGTTTTGACTGGCGTCATTTTGACAAGGTCATTCGTCATGTGCTGTATAGATTGATAACACCTAAGTTAAGGCAAACACAACTAGGGAAAAAACCTGATTTTATGGCATATTAAGCTAGCCATAAAAACTCCCACTGTCTTTGATCAATTCTATTTGTGCCAGTTATAATGAATTCTCAGTCTCTTTTCTCTATTCATTTACTTTTAAAAGTTCTGAAATGTTGCTACTTAGTTCACGGGGGAGAAGTGTGGCTAGGGAGAAATCCCTTTTATCACTTTCTTATTATTGTGTATACAAAATGTTGGTAGATATATACAGAAATGCGTAGAGCTACAAGTTTTATTTGTTCTCATTTTAATACTATATTTTATGCTTCATCAGTTCTTTCCTGGTAACATTTTTCTTTCTTAATTAACTTTTTATATTTATTTTATCAATTCACATCTTTGAATGATGGTTGTTTTTATTACGAAATGTCTTTAGAAATATTAAATTAGTTTTAATGGCAGCAATCTTTAAAAGTTCGTTTCACACTCCGTGATGAAATAGTAGGCAAATGCTCAGAGCTAATGTGGTTTAAGTGCATTGTCAATATCGCCATTTGCCTTGGATTGTTACAGAAATAATGCCTGAAGTTTCACATTAGTAGACTTTTTATCTGCTATTTCAAAACTAGTTTAATCTCATACTTGTAACGAGGAAAGTCTCCCTTTGAGCGATCAAGGTGGCAGAAGTGGGTTTATTAGGGCACCGAGTAGGTGTTTTGTCTCCTACAGAACATCAGGTTCGCCCTGACAAATGCGGGTAGAAAGATCAAATCTGATATAAAGCAGGGTTTAAAAAGTTGCCCTTTCCCTCCACTCCCCCAGGGCCGGCAGTAGAACCTGGAAGTTGGACGCTTAATTCAGTAGGGTTCAGTGGTAGCAGGCACATGCTGTATCTAAACCAAACTGTGGGCCCGATTCTTCTTGCATTGAAATCAATGGGAAGTGGTAGCAGGCACATGCTGTATCTAAACCAAACTGTGGGCCCGATTCTTCTTACATTGAAATCAATGGGAGGGGGCAGGATCGGGCTCCGTGTCGCTGTCTGGGATTGGAAGGGCTCCTCCGGGAAATATTGCCCGGCTGTCCCTGTCACTCACGCAGAGTCCAGAGATGACCAAGAGACCAATGAGCCTTGTCGATTGGATTTTTTTCCAAATGGAAAATAATCCAGTCGGTCTAATTAACTCGATTCACTCTGGAAGACTGGGCAGGCAATTGCTGTTAAACTAAATAACCAGAGGGATCCCAGTGGTACTAAGTCACAGCAGGGTGATAGTTGCTCCCTGTCTCTTCGGAGATGGGGCTCAAGGAGCTGGCTTTGTAAGGAGCGCACTTCTTGCATGTCTCAGTCCTAACAGATAACACTGGGGCACGAGCTGAGCATTTAAAACAACAGCTGCGGGGGCTGAATGAGAAGAAACAAACGAAAAAGCGTTAGCTTTTCTCGCCGCTTTGCTTAACCACGTCGAACGTCTGGCTTGTCTTTCTTGGGGTCTCTGTGTGCGTCTGTGTCTTTTATTATTTTGTCCCCCCACGTTGGTCTCGGGGGAGTTGTTATTTCTTCTGCTTTTCTGGATGTGGCTTCTGTGTTTATAGAGGCGGGGGGAGACAAAGAGTTTTTAACCTCCTCCCCCTCTCTCTGGGTTTTTTATTACTTAGAGAACGAGCGCTGAAACAAATCACATTGACCGTTTAGAAAGCGATCAAACCTCTATAAAAATCCATTGCTAACGAATCGATTGGTGAATATTTGCTAGGAATTTGTTCAAAAGAAATAAATGAGGGTAAGTGTATTAAATGCAAAAGGGGAACACGATGGTGTTTTTCTTCATTGATTAATGACCTCTAAAATAAAACAAGTTGGAAGAGGAACCAGGATCGATAAATTAACTACCCAAATTCATCATTTTCCCAGGGAATTAAAAAAATAATCCTTATCCAGTCTCTGTCTTTGGGGGCTGGGTATTTGGGGGGAGGGGAACTAACCCCTTTAACAGGGAGGAATTGTATCGGGGAGTCCCTATCTGATATCGTTTGACGCACAATTACAAAGTTTGCTTTTCATATTAATTAATTCTCCTGATCGGGGGAAGACAAATGGTCGGTTGCCTCTGACAGGAGTCCGATAAAGGATTCAGCAGCTCTCCTTCTTGCCCTAGGCGTCTCCTCATTTCAGTTTTAAGGTCACTCGCGGCTGAGTTAATAATTCATTAATATAGACATTTATTCAGATGGGATTCACGGACATTCACGCTCCCCCTTGCATGGCAGCGGTTAGATTTCGTTTCCCTCGAAGAAGAGACGGGGATGGGGGAAGGAGACTTTTAAATAATAAAAGTGGACCTGTTCCTACTGCCTATTCCAGCCAAAGTGAGGTGGCATCCA